ACAATAATAAAAAAAAAATATATATATATAGGTAGGGAAATAATATATAATCACAGCAGTTGGTGGCCGCGTAAAAATAGAGACGACCTTAATTTCCGACCTGCGTTACGAGTATAATCGCAGCGGCGACTACGTGTAGCCGTGAAAATATTTTTTCGCGAAGCCGATTGCCAAAAAAAAAAGTTTTCCTTTCCTCGCTATCGCCCCGCTCCCCCCCTCCGCAACTCCCACGACGGCGCGATATTATTATCATCACTGGTTCAGCTGCCGCGCTGCCTAGGTAGCCCACTGCAGCTGTCGTCGCCACCGCCCAACGAAATAATAGCCGAAAGCCCTCTCCCACGGGCTGCGCACTTTTGTTATCGTGTCGACGTTTTACGGTCCTCAGTGTAGGTCTCTCATTCGCATATTATTCGTCCAGTCGTATACACAAACACCGTGAGTATAGCATATTATAAATTATAATACTATATTGTAGTATAAGATTGTATTAATGTAATAATAATAATAACATCAAATATTATCCTAATCCGCATGCGTGTAACGTATTGTAGATAGGTCAAGTGTCGAAGGGGTTTTCAATACTGCCTCCTCGATACGCGCTCTATGTCGTAATCTTTGTTATTGGCATTACATAATAATATATTAAATTGTTATACACACGTACGCATGACACATATTTTTTCATAGCGTAATATAGGTAAAATCGCGTCATAATTTGCTTGCTATAGTTTGAAAACAATAAACATAGATAGGTACCTACTTATGTAGATTATAGGCTATAACTAACAGTAACGGTAATTGTCCAATTATAGTATTGAGTACGACAATATATTTATGTATTTACTATATATTAAGCGTGTTGGGGAATGACTTAACTCAAGTGACATTGTGACAAGTTACGCTTTTTAAATAATTTGATGGTAATTTAATTAAATTGTATAGTAAGTAATTCAAGTTACTTTTTTGTAATACAATTACTAAATTAGATACTCGCTACTTTATAATACATTGTAAGAACCAATTGATGATGTCTGCACAGTACCTACCTAACAGTTTTGTAATAGCTATTTGATAAAAAAAATTGTTTTTAATACGTAGTAATTTGGAAAATGCATTGTTTTCAAAAAAACAATTTAAAATAAAAATAAAAATGCATGTTAAACAACTTTTGGTTCTTAAACAAAGATTATTTCATATTGTTAACTGTCATTACTTAAATGTTTGAAAATAAAAAGTAACTTAAGAATAATTGAATTACAATTTTGAAAGATAAATCGTAATGTAATTTAATTCCCCAAAAAAAGTAACTTTCCGAACATTATATAATTATAGGTATATATATTATTTTATATTAGTATGTAGTATGTACCTATTGGCTATTACTCTCGTAGACTGCACACGTATTAATGCATAATGTTATATTAGCGTCTATGTCTACAGACTACAGTCATCTATACTCTATAGTGTAGATTATACGAAATCTATATGCATCCCACATTGTCACACACCTTCGATAATGATTACTTTAGTTCTCGGTTTTTAAAATACCTAATATATAAGGATTTGATTGATTATTATAGAGTTTTTTAATAAATAGGTATAATCCTTAAATAATTGGAAGGCATATTTTATATAATATGTGTCCAGCACACATTGTAGGCACTTTTTTCTCATAATATCCATTGTTGCAATGGAGAGGGGAAGATAATTTTATTTGGAAAGTAAACAGTCTTTATTGACAGCCGCTTGACAACCGTGGAAGGGACTTGCAGATAACGTTGGCGTGCACCACTCAAATATAATAATATTTCATCAATTGAAGCACATGTGTGATTTATAAATTATACCTAATACACTAATGTAACAACTATACAATAAACCACCAGAAAAAAAAAACACATTAATAAGTAAAATATATTAAAACTACAATGAGTACTGAGTAATATAGGTTTACCTACCATACGCGAAAACATTAACAAATAAAATATAAATCTTTAATTATCTGGACATCAATATTGAATAGGTATACCTACAATAGTACTGATGCCTAATGTTTAACAATGGTCCACAGGAACAAAATTAAATTTTTTTTTAAACTGGCACTTTTTTTATAATCTCAATGAATAACGTCAAGTCAAAAATCGATTGTATAAATGTGTGACCTGCTGTAATAAACGTTCGTGTTCTATAGTAGTAAAACAGTAGGTACCTAGGTACTACAGTAGTAGTACGGTATGCTTCTCGTATAAATACATATCATGTTGTAGCTTAAATTTGCTAGTCTTGGTCCTTGGAGTACATATTTATTAATTATTTGCTAAAAAGGTGACTAGGTATAGGTACCTATAGTTATTTAATATTGATTAATTCTTATTTAATTATCCATCTTATTGTTATCAAAATTACCTTTTTATAGGTACTTATACCTTATTCAAAATTAGGTGTTGCACATACATTTGGTTCAAAGTAAATTATTTTTAAACCACGCATAGTATTGGATCTCATTTATATTTACTCACTTATGTCCGTCCTACATGACGTACATACTTGATAATTTTTCAGTTAATATCTATATTTTTTCTTCAAAATTATAGATCGATTTCAAATGTTTGTCTTGTTAAACTTTTATTATTATAGAACCTGGAATCAAATAAAAAGATAATACATGATCAAAATATTTTATTATAATAGGTTATATTATATGTTCTAAATAGGTACCATGCTATTATGTTCTTCTAAAAATGATTAACTTTAATAAATTCGTCTACTACAGTAAACACTGCAGACACAACAAACAATAATCATTAACCAGTTTACTTCTGCGTTTATTTTTACATAATTATTCTCATTCATAAAACTATGAAGTTAGTCATCAACCTAACCTATGTTCATATTTATCTTCTGGTCTCCCGTTACTGGCGTCTGGCACAACATCAAATTATTATGAGCTCTGTTTGTTTTTATTGATTTAATTCACATTTGTCCTTGACGTTTAAAACACTTGCCGACGGATGCTTGCAATGTGTTAAATATTAAATATAATAATATACCATAAATCGCAATCTGAATCATAATGTTACAAAATACAAGGTTATAATATGTATTTATATTTTTCGGTGAATACATTAAACATTTCAAGATAAAACCGTTTATTTGACATGACGAAGTCGAGTTATCATTTTAAACAATAATTTAAATTAATTGCGTCTAAGGCTAGAGAGACAAGTATAATAAATAATATTGTATAGTTTTGTTGCAGTATTATTTTGTTTTAATTTTTTTCGAATATTTTTTATTTATTTAAATAAACATAGAAATAGTATTATTAATTACCTGTGAGGCTATTATTGAACTATTCATATTTTAAAATTTTAAAATTGTTAAATCTTTTTGATTTCGTGTAAATGTGAACGTATCCTAACGTAGGTTGTATAATATAATGATGCCCGTGAGTAAATAATGTATATTATTTTATCCATAAAAATCAGTACCTAACGTTCTAACAGATAAACTGTGGTACCTAATGTTACTGAAAATACATTTAAAGTAAGTACCCACTACCTACCTAGGTATAGTTTATTTGCACATGCTGCGTACATTATTTTAACATTTTAATTTATTTCATTTTAATTTATTAGTTTTTCAAATTCGACTTTCGTGTTTTTTTTTTTATTAAGAATAACCTCCTTTGGAACTTAGCCAAAATAAGTATTATGACCTTTTATTTTTAGACATACAAATTTTGTTTCATTTACGATATATGCTATTTTTCCAAAAATCATCTTAAAATATTTAAGTACCTAAATAATATAATACATTTTTAATCAAAAATTTTAATAATATTATTAATTAGTGAAAATAACATGTGTTATTAATGTAGGTATTTTTGTTTATAAAAGTCATAATTAATATTTAATTGTATACAGCATACGTTCCCATGAAGATATATTTAAATGTGTTATATTTTGCATGTAAACGTACGTGTAGTATAATAATTACTAATAATATGACCTTCTGTATTATCCACTCGTTTTAAGCTAATAACCGTAATGGACCTTATTGGACGACGTGTAGTTTGTATATACAGGGTGATTCGCCAAGAATGATCACCCCTATTTTTTCCTTTAATAATGTATTTATTCAAATTCTAATATTTAGAATTTTTTAATATACTTGAAAGACAATTTTTTCAAAATCTTGAATTTGTACCTACTACTTAAGGAGTGTCTTGTGGAGATGCAAACTTCTGTTTTTCAAGTGAGACCATTCCCCCTTTACTGTAAATTATTTAGTGGATAATTTTTTTGAAGGTTTTGATGTACTTAATCTAAAATTCGAATGAGCAGTTCGTTTGTGATTAAAATATTTGTGCTAAGGATAATAGTCCCTTAAAAATGGTAGGTATTACATAAATATAAAATGGACGTAATATTGGAACTTGTATTTATTATACTTGGGCATTTTTTTACAAATTATTAATGTTTATTGATTAATATTAATGACTAAAATTTTCAAATCGCCATAGTCGCTATATACATTATAAATCCATTACCGTAGACCTTTTATCCTTAGAACCCAAAGTTAAATAACTCAAGAACTACTCGTACGAATTTTGATTCTGATATTACGTCAAATTTCTCGGAAAAATTATCCACTAAATAATTTACAGTTTAAAAGAGGGTGGGGGGTTCTCATTTGAAAACAGAAGTTTGTATCTGCATTTCTGCACAGGACACTCCTTAAGAAACACAAAAAATCTCTAGAATTTAAAAATATACTACTTATTTAAATATATTTAAAATTAAAAAAGTCATATTTGAAATAACTTTATTATTGAAGAAAAAAGGGATGATCATGGTTATAACACTTAGTACTGTTGTCTGTTATTGCTTAAATTCTTCAATTGAATGTTATGTACACTCAAGCACAAATTTTTTCAAACTTAAAAATGTACAAACATTTATATTTTTCAACAGTTGCAATCAATATAAACGAATATGTGTGAAATCAGTCTACCAACCGTCTGGATACTTGGTAAGACGAAAGAACAAAATAGTTGAACTATATGTCATTGATATGGGTATTAACTAATTAAATAGGTGGACCCGGTAGCGGCAAGGGTACCCTTTGTGACAAGATCGTTGCTAAATACGGGTTTACTCACATTTCGACTGGTGATTTGCTGAGGGATGAAGTGAACACAGGATCAGAACGTGGCCAAGAATTGGTGAAGATTATGAAAGAAGGAGCCCTAGTTCCCACGGTACGCTTTCTATAACAGTTAGTGTAATCAGTTTAACTGTGAATGTGTAAAACTACCTTAACAAATGTATATTCAGCAATGTCATAAATTAATTTAAGAATGTATGTTTCAGTCTGTTGTCATGGAGTTACTTAAAGAGAAAATCAAAAGCAAAGTAGCAACATCCAAAGGTTTCCTAATCGATGGTTATCCACGTGAGAAGAAACAAGGAGAGGAATTCGAAACTGCGGTAAATTGTATTAAGTATTTAATATTTATATAGGTACCTACTATTATTTTTAAAGTAAAAAGGTGCCGATTAGTTTTTTTTTAAACAATAAAACTGAATGAAAGTTTTGATAGATTAAAAATAATTTTGTTTTAATGGCCAAGTAAAAATTTTAATTTTGTAATACTTAGAAATACTTTTATGTCTGGTAAAACTTAATTTCCAGAAACTCAGATTTACACATAAACATTAATTTTGATATGATTATCCTACCCATACATACCTAATATAGCATAGGTACCTATATTATGAATTATAATATATTCCTTGTTTTACTGAAATATAAATGGAAAATTAGTTATACTATACTTGTCTATATAGGTAAGTAACTAATATTAATTATACCTACCTTATTAAAATTATACCTATTTATATTTTATAATAGGGGCAATATACAGAAATATTTTCCTTATGTTTTTATTTATCCCGGTCCCGAGTCATATTAATTAATTTTTTTTTCGAATTTTTTACAATCCATGCTTATATTATAATTTATAAATGTGAAACTCCTAAACCGCTAAATCTATTTGATGAATTTTTGTATAGAAATATATTATGAGAACTCGAAGAAAACATAGGCTACTTTTTGTCTCGAAACTTGAAAGAGATGAAATAGGGGATGGTGGAAAATGGAAATCTAATATTTTTTTCTTTATATAATTAATGGTTGACATTAGTTAAAAAAAATAATAATATAATTTAGTAGAAATTATTATTTTTTTGTAAGTGACATTCCTAATTTATAAACGTTATCTCTCCGCCGCCGTGTCATGGCGCACCTACTGTCTATCGTAGTCGCGTAGGGTTTCGAAATTAAGTTCTATAAATAAATAATAATAGTTTATTTAATTCTAAAATAGGCAAATGTTGTATATACTTTGCCTTTTTTGAATGGTTTTTTATATTCTTATTAGGTAGGTAGGTAAAAACGACAAACTTGGTATAACATTGTAACTTAAGAGTTAGAAATACCTATACCTGATAATATACTGCTCTCATAACTACAAAACTTCAATCCTTATCACCTCAACGAATCTCCCTCTATTTGGCATGGACAGACTGATAGTATTTAATAATAATAAAATATATTATACAGCACAAAGGTGTTAAGAGGACGCCACACCCGCATGTATTGTCTCCGTCTTACAAATGTACAACATAGCAAAAACTCTTTTGCGAGGGACAACTTTTCTCGCACCATATTTGTTGTAGAACTACCAAATTTTCACAGCACTTAAAGAAGAACTGTATCTGTGCAACAGCGTGCTCTTTTTTTCAATAACATATATACAATACAAGTTATTTGCTTCTAAACATTTGGTTTTTTAATTTGCTTATAAAAAATGATTGGATGGTGCTATTGAAAAAAAGAGCACCCTGTTGCACAGATAAAGTTCTTCTTTAAGTGCTGTGAAAATTTGGTAGTTCTACAACAAATATGGTGCGAGAAAAGTTGTCCCTCGCAAAAGAGTTTTTGCTATGTTGTACATTTGTAAGACGGAGACAACACATGCGGGTGTGGCGTCCTCTTAAAGTAAATATAAATTATATAGGTACCTAGCTATATTATTAAATAATAATAAAGACATTCAAAATTTTTTTTAAAAATCAATAAAAAGCTAGGCCCCTGCTTTACATTAGTGTTATGGTTATATATTTTGTTATAATATGTGTATCACGGTTTACGATGAATATTTTATACCTTTATAAATTATAAGACACTGTCGTGGGGTGTCACTACAACTGTAACACTGTAGCCCCTTGGCTATACGAGCCTGACTATATAATATAGTAATATAGGTACTGTAAATTGTAATAGTATATTATACTATATAGGTACTACTGTACTAGCTGATGTACACTATATGACTATATAAATATGATTTAAACGAGTAGGTATTATTTTTATACAGATGGGTAGGAGGTACAGACAGACGACAGTTATGTAGGTATAGGTCACGGTTATCTAGATAATCGTGGTATAGGTATTTAAAAAGAATGCCACAGTAAAGTTTTCTAACTGTCTATTTTTAACAACACGCAAGGCACAAAAATAAAAAACTACACTATTTTAAATTATCATTGGTAGTTTTTTCGTTTTAAATAAGTCGTAATTATGATAAATTATATTAAATGAAAAAACTTAGTTTAATGAGATTTATGATAGCAAAACTTACAACATACCTAGCTATTTTCTAGACAAAATAATATATAATCGTTATATTTGAAAACAGGCAGTTTTAATAAGTACCTGTATACGATTTTAGAATGTAGAACATAAAACATATTTTTTATAATTTTGAATACGGTTTTTACTAATTTCACTTAAACATTTTATAAAAGTATTAAAATTTTTAAGACTTTTAAATTATATAGGTTTTGTTGAGTTTAATTACGAAAAAAATAATATTTTAAGTGTTTTCTTTCTTATAGATAAAACCGGTAGACATGGTATTATACTTGGAATCCAAAGACGAGACGATGGTGCAGAGGTTGCTCAAACGAGCTGAGACCAGTGGTCGGTCAGACGACAATATGGAAACAATTAAAAAGCGGTTGCAGACGTTCCACGACAATAACGATCCTATTATAGAAGCTTACAAGTGTAAAGTAGTTATAATATCGGCCGAACAGAGTCCAGAGGCTGTTTTTGCCGAAGCAGAGAAAAAACTTGATACATTGGTTGCATAATTTAAAAAATTAAAATCTGCATAAGTTTTGATGATAATAAAAACATATAAAAACAAAGTTATGGTAAAAACTAAAAGCTCAAAGTTTCATTTGAAGAAATATGAGGTTAATTTTTTCATGCATGTACCTTTATTCACACAAGCTATAAATATAGATTTAGGTTCGGATTAATAAAACATGATAAAATATAATTTGTAACTTGATTTACCAATACAAGTAATCATTATATTCATTGTAGATTATAATATTTTAAAGTACCTAATACAAACAAATAGAAAATATAATATTTATGTGCTTTATAAATTATTGGTGTCATTGCCTAATATAAAAAGCATTATTTTCTTTAACAACACTACAATTATTTTTTAGTGTTTTTATGTTTATCATAGAACAATTCGAACCATACATTTATTAAGAAGGTATAATACCCTTCTTTTCATGCCTATAGTATAAAGAATAAAGATGATTATGTTGATAATATAATATTATAATGTCATATTTAAACATAATTATTATTGTTGTTAATTATAATAAAGTTGTTATTGCAATATTTTAAATGTTATTGCTTTTTGAGAACAAAATTAAATATTTATGTTTTAATACAGTATTGTATTGTTTTTTGTATTATTGTTAGATATCTACCTATAGTAATTTATTAATTAATTTGAATCAACAGTGTTTAGAATATTTATGAAAAAATTCATTAAAAATTTAGAATGAGATAGGTAATTGAATAGTACTTATTACCTACGTTTTCTAATATTATATATATTTTAGAGATATTGTACCAACAAAGTACAGGGTGTACAGTGTACACAATGAAGTGTTACATTTATATGAGTCTCTTTTGTAAAACTTTTTGGTATATTTATTTAAAAATATATGAAAACAACAAACTCTATAGTAAATAGAACTATATTTACCGAATACAATGAATTAAGTTTAAGTTATATGAGTAAACATTATATTGTTCTGATATAAGGAAATCTTTGTAAAAGACGGGAGAATATTTGTAAGGAAAATATTTTTATATCCAACTATTTCATGTGAATACTTTCTGGCAAGAAGAGTTACAAGTAATCCTACAATGTGTCACAGAAGATATCTATTATAACTGGTAACCGAAGAATTTATCTGGGTAACATCAAAGTAAATTTCCCTTTCCCTTTTCTTTCAGATATCAAAGGGTGAACCCAACATTTTGTTTCCTGTTGATTGAATGTGTTGAATGATAAGTGCAAAAACCACTGTAGTTATTAAAAAATCCACAATTTTAGACATCAAAGAAACAACTATAATATGTACACTCAATGAGTAAAGCAGTTGGTTGAATCAAAAAACAAAATTAAATATATTAACAAGGCGTCTTAGGGAACATTTAGAAAAATAGAAACAATAATCAATAAATTGAGAATCGGCCACACCCGCTTAACACACTTTTACCTAATGGGAAACAAAGACACCCGGCAACCTGCATTTCGTGTGTGACAAAGACAGTAAGACACATTTTCTCGGAATGCAGATACTAAGTAAAATCAACCCAAACTTATATGAACCCATAGGAACAGACATATTAAGTGACCTTATCTGCTTCCTTAAAAGAAACTGGGCTGGACAAGCAAATTTAGAAATAATATTTTTCCTATGCACATAAATATAAATTTTAAATATATTTAAAAAAAAGAAAATACCGGATCCAAAAGCAAAAGTTCAACCATAATATAATTAATGTACCTATATGACATGTATGTTTCTATGACTTATATAATAAACTTTATATAACAATTTGTAAAAACTAATTGTCTTAGCTGCTGAACAGGGAGGAGATATGGTGTCAAAATACAATATGTGTACATATTGAATATGTCTTTTAAAGTCTTTGTACCCCCCTCATGAAGAAATCCTGCTGCTAAAGTTTCAAATCAATAAAAAAAAAAAATATCTATAGGCCTGCTATTTTTTTTTTATTATTGTCTATGACTAAAATAGTGCCAGGGTTTCAAACGTTGTCACCCCAATTGCGTTTGAACAATATAAGTTACGTACCTATAGCAGAAATTAAATTATTTCGGCAAGTGCGGTTTCGTACAGTGAGTCGAAATCATTTGTACATGGTAGACGAGCTGAGTTTGCCATTTCTGACTGAGTTTTGAGTAGGAAATACTTGGAATGATAGTGAAATATCAGATTTTACCATTTTATTTGCACGGACACCATACACCTTGAGGGAATGAGTACAGTGTATTTAAGCTTGGCGTTCATAATAGTTATGACGTACACGGCTGTACGGGTAACCATTAACTGGTCAACTGCGGATTTTATTTAATATTTTAATAGCATAATATGCATTATGCAATAATATTATTTTCTCAATTTTTATTTCTTTACCTAATCTTTGAAAAACACGAATGCACGATTCCGCCAAGCGGCAAGCGCCAACCCGGTTCCCGGCTCTGATGCCGGTTATCACTTATCAGCGCTACAGCAGGCTGTTATCGTATCATATTATTATCACGTTTTGGCCCACCAACAGTAACAACAACAACAACAACAACAACAGCAGTGACGACGACAGAGACGATAAAAAACACATTATAATCTTTTTACCGCGCTCATTGGTATTACCATGGAACAACACTACGGACAGACGTAAACAAATGAACAAAATATAACAATGCCGTTTACAGCCGTCTACACTGATTTCAGGTTTGAACACTGTAAACAGTCGGCCACTGTTCCGGTGGTCGTTTTATGCGCATTTTGTAAAAACTTCTGCCGAGCCGCATGCGCACACCCGAGATGTCCGACTGATCTGCGTCTGTTGTAGTGTTTATACTAATACACTATACCGGTGTAGTACCCATACTGGCATACTGTCGTATTCGATGTAGCCGGCACCAGCTCAACCCTCAGCCACCATTCAGGCCTGTGTGTGTGTACTGCTTATGCGTCTGCAGTCTCTACGCCTGTTCGGTCGTCGTCGTTGCTGCTGTTTGTCTTGGTCGTAGCCGCTTGGCATAATATCGACTCGTAATTGGACGTCTGTGCACCGTTGTCGCCGGTTTCCATTTCTCTCCGGCCGTCGTTATCGAAGTCTACCTCCACCTACTGTAAAGGTAAGAGCCGCCATTCAGACACTAGGTGTTTACGGTGGATGTGCGTCTGTTGCTGATCGTTCCGGTCGCAGCTGGTAAGCGGCCATATTGGTACGTGTTTTGACGTTTGTGCACAGTTTTCAGCCGTTGTTACCAGCTTCCAGTCCTCGTCTCTCGTATTTTTCACTCGTACTGCGATCCGACAAACGGCGAGTACCCACTTTGTGCTGCGAAAGAACAATCATCGCCAACTATATCGTTGCAAACGTTGCGTTGCTGGTCGATCGTTGGACTGTACCTCTAATCTGAGCCTCGAATGTAAGTACTTGGTATAAAGAGGGTCCACCCGGGCACGAATTTTTTTGGGGGGGGGGGGGCGCTGCTTGTCCTGATCGCGCCTGATGGGCGGCCATATTGGCATGTGATTTGACGTTTGTGTACCTTTTCAGCCATTGTTACCAGTTTCCAGTCGTTGTTACCAACTTCTAGTCTGCGTCAGTCATTTCGAAATCAACAGAGTGGCCACATGAAAGAGAAGGATCCAAGCTAATGATATTGTTGAAAGCGTAGCTTTGCAATTCGATCGTTTAATCATCCGTTGTGTGGACTGTGCTAAGTTTCGAGTGTAAGTATTCAGATAACTACTGCAACACCCCCAATGAAGTTTGGGAATGTGTTGGCTGAATGGTAGGCGCCCCTGAAACCACCACGGTCTTGTCATTATTTAGCGATAAATACGGAAACATATATTTTTGATTAATTTAGTTGATTTCCACATAATATATTACCTACCTACCTATCTACTACTAAATGTATAATATAATATGAGAATTTATTTGACTAGGTAGATACCTATTTAAAATTAAATTTTCATCTAAAAAATAATAGGTATTATTGTATTAAGAGGATTTCGTACCTGCATATTATATTGTCTCCATTTTATTAACACATAACATACCTTAATGTACGTTCCAATAATTTATATGACAAGATTTCTTCATATTTAATTTATGATAATTATTACCTACTATATTATTATGCATAATATTGATGGTGTTATGTTGAAATGATGTAACCCATTTAATTGAAAAAAAATTAGTCTTGAAACCCCTTTATGTATTTAGTTTTTTCACAAGTTCTTTTTAACAAATCGGATCTTAAAATATTATATTAAGCGAGAACCAAGCGTGGTAACAGAATAATGTTTAACAGCTGTAAGGGGATCAATTGATGTTTAGATAATATTTATGAGTTATATCATTAACATTAATTATGATTGTATTGAAACTAACACATTTAAAGTAGAAATACTGTAATTTCCAAATTGTCTTACAAAATATAATATTTGTGTAGAAAACGCCCTTTTTACATACTCATGTTTTAGTTATATTTTATTAAAAGGGCGTTTATTAATAGTCCATTCAGTAAAACTGTTATCAGTTCACTGTATATTTTTTCTTATCTAATGAACACCTTTATTACAGATTATTCTACTAATTTTTCTGAAAATGTTTATACCAAAAAGTTGGATTTTGATTTTTTGAGGGTTTTGCCCTTTTACAAATTACTGTCAATATTATTATAACAATTATTGTTGATGGGATAATTATAGAAGCGTAGTGTACCAATATAAGACATCTTAAAATATTATTTTCATATCAATTAATTTTCTTTTTAATTTAGCAGTTTTCTATGGTATATAGGTACATATTTTAGACTTTTAGAGGATGATTAGGGAACAGATTTATATGCATAAAATATTCATATTTTACACTATTATACTGGATGATCAAGATTTGTCTTATCTTTGACGATCAGTTGTAATTTTATCATTTTAAATATAGTATATGATAAACAATAGTCTATATTATTATTCATAAGTAATTTGATAAATGACAGATTTATGTGACTGTGAACGGAATAATAAAGATGAACTAAAATATGCACTTTACAATTACAAATATGTATTATACCTGGATAAAAAGTTGAAATATACAAAATACAAATAGTTATTTTAATAATGATCTATTAATGATCTTATAATGATATAATAATGATCTATTTTGGGGAAAATTCTCATCAAATTTCAAATAGTTTATTCCAATATTTAAATCCGTTCCCAAGTGATGATAAATATTAAGACCTTTTCTATTTATTATATAAAATAATAGTTGATCAAAAAAAATATATTTATTTTATATAATTATTTATTTGTTTTAGTTAGTTATAATGATGAATATGGAAGTGGAAAATACTGATGACCAGCTTGTAACAATTCATTTTGATAATGATGTCAACGACACATTTAATAAATTGTTTTTAATAGAACATAGTGCATATTTTGAAGCTATGTTTAATGGAAACTTTTTAGAATCTCAACCAGACCAAAAAATACATATACAGGTATCTATAGATTTATCAATAATAAAAATTTATTTTTTCTGTGTTATTTAGTGCTTATGAACAAGGGCGGTGGGAGGTATGCTCAGTATTCTATAACTTGACAATTAACTGCCCAAACACATTTTATAATTGCATTTTAATTTATATATTTTTTTCTACCGGTACTTACTTTTTCGAGAGGTATATTATTAATTGTAAAATAATATATTTGTACGTCTTGCAGGACCTCTGAAAATATACTAATGACATATTGTACTTGTAACAGTGATTAAATCATATACCCAACATTTTAGTGATTGATTTCAATCAATGCAAAATAAAATAAAAAGCAGTCAATTTGTAACCACTCTGTTATACCTTGTCATTGGTCACTGTAATAGATAATGTTTAACTTGAATTTAAAAAATGATTCTGAGCGGAGATTATATCAGCCTATATTATAAAGTATATTTTATCATATTTATAATGCTATATTTGTTATTTATTTTATTATTAGTAATACCATATTACCATTGATTATAAATACTTAACCAAGGTTACCAAACAATTATTTTAATAATAATATTAAAATGTAAAAAAATGTTCATATTTTCATATATTTCCTTATTATTTTAAAAAGTACTGATAATATTCAATTTTGACCTCCGAAATGTACCAACTAGATTCAATTTTACCAGAAAGCTCCTTCGAAGTTAATGATCAGAGCATTTTTTCTATCATAAAAAGTGTATAAAATGTACAAATCAATATATTATACAATTATAATATAATATACAATTTGTATCAATACATACCGCTCCGTTCAAAATCTAAAAGTAATATTAATTAGGTTATCGAACAAAGTTAATTTATATTTTCAATTAACATTTTTATTTTACTTATTACAGTAAAATGTACTATATTGTATAAAACCATATAGGTACTAACTAATAATGCACATGATTTTTTTCATTAAATCTGAAGTGTGCACTGGTGCATAACGGCATAACATTATTACATAACATAATTTATCATTGATAATTACCTATTATACATATTATATTATGCTGTTTGGTTCGATCATGAATTTATTATTTTACTATTGCCTCAATACTGTTTGGTATTTAAAAAAAATGTATTATGGTCGGGCTCATGAAAAGTGAGCTCTAACTACAGCATTCCCAGTGATATTTATAAATTAGTGAGTACCAAAGTAAATTGGCACACTTTTTAAAATTGATGTACGTTAGAAATTTATTTCTTCGTTTTGTGCACTACAGCTGAAAAAATAAATGGAGGTTTAGTGAATATTATGAACTATATAAAATATTAATTTATTGTGATATTAAACTATTAGTACAATACTGGGAATTTCTGGTGCCGACAATATTTCAGCTCCACTTATTGACCACCAGCGCTCTTTTTTTAAGCTCAACTATAGTAATATCTTCAAATGTTCAGTAAATTTATTAATTATGCAATTTATTTTGTTATTTCAGGAAATAAGCCATAAAGGTTTTGTGAGCGTCATCAACAGTTTGAAACATAAAAAAGTAATTTTTGATGATTTAGATGATTTACTTACTATACTGGAAGTATCACAGTTTCTTCAATTTCCTTTCATTATTGCTGAATCTATTAAAATTGTCAGACAGAAATATTTGTTTACAATTTATGCAGTCAATGTGTTTTCAACGGTTTCTAAACTTGGAATTAAGAATCTACTAGAGAAATCCCAAGCTTATATTTTGTATTACTTTAAAAAAGTATTGTCTCAAAATAAAGCTGGTTTCTTAAAACTAAAGAAAGTAGATTTACAAACATTATTGAATAACAATAGTTTAAATGTTGAAAACGAACAAGATGTGTTTGATTTGATTGTTAATTGGTGTTTGGTAAATAATAATTACAATATTGAGTATGAAATGGTTGTTAGTTGTGTGCGTTTTAAATCTATGAGTAAAGAACAATTGGAATATTGTATTTCAAAAACTAACAATTTAAATTTACAAAACATCATGATTCCGTATATGGATTGTACAAGAGAGCCTGTATTAGACCCTATGAGTATGGGGTTGTATATTAGACCGGTAAGAAATATTCCTTTTGGTTTGTGTGCTGTTAAAAATGAATTGGATGGTTATGCGTTTGTGTATCGCTGGGATTGGGCTTCTATGCAGTTTACAAAATTTATTAGATTGGATCCATTGCCTCTTGATACAACTGGATATCATGTGATTGTTAAAGGTAACAAAAATAATTTACACTGGTTATACTGAGTGTACATGGTATTTATTTAATTTTTATAGGCTTAGAAGTTTATGTGATGGCTGGAGAAATTGCATATGGAAGAGGATCATGGAATAAGGAAGGATGGAAGTATAATTTACTGTCAGAAGAATGGAAGAGATTGAAAGAGTAATTACAAGTTTTGAGAATAGCTGATATAAATAATGTTTAATTTAATTTTTTTTTTTTAGTTTTACTACATCCAGTAGGCGCCATGGAGTTGGACATTTTGTAGGTGATTATTTATACTTAATGGGAGGTCTTACAAAGCACCGATTGCCAAATCGAAATATTGAGCTCTTTGCAATAGATAAATGTAAGCTATAAACTAATTTAATCAAGTGGTCAATTTAATTTTTATAATTTATTTGTTTTAGATAATGATACACTTGTTAAAGTTCATATGAGTTCTTGCCAATATTTTCAAAAAAGAGTGGATAGACAATTTTATGTTTGTTTGGAGTATAAAGATCACTTAGCGATAATAACTAAAGATAATGAACCATCATGGTATGATCTAACTCCTATTGGAAATGATCAAAATGCTTATAAGTGGAGAAGACGCATAATAAATTTAAATGAAGTAGTTATTTGTGCAACTTGTTATAACGACACTGTTTATATGCTTAGTAAGTTTTACGTTTTCAAACCATAAAACATAATATGTTATTAAATATTAATATTATTAATTTCAAATTTTTCCTACGGTATTCTTGCAGCTTACGACAAAACCCGTACTATTAACTTACACAGCTACTGTCCAATGTATGAGTTAACCAAGAAGTTAAAATCTTTTAATATAGCATATGATGGTGATACTACGATGTGTGCTTTCAATGTGGATAAAGCTATGGTATTTAAAAATGATACTTTTGAATATTATTCTGTGGATAATGACTTTTTCATAGAATATAAAGTTCAATTAGACTCTTTTCATTCAAACTACTTATTTAGTGTTCCTATTTATATAGATAAGACATTATAATTTATTTTTAGTTAAGTACCTAGTATTATAAGTACCTATTTATTATTTAATGTTTCCTTAGTATTGTAAATTTAACTTTATTTAACATGATCTATTTTCTGTATTAATTATTGTACAAATTAAACTTTACTCTACATTTAGGGGATTCAAGACCAATCCCATCATTAAGGTGTGTGATTGTATGCAAAAGAAATAACAGAAATTAATATTAATAATTGTTTTTTTTTGTTTTGGTCAAAAGTATCAACTAAATATGTTTTCTTGTCATTTATTTGATGACTTGGATAATCTGTACAGAAATAAGTAGTGTCTAGGATATTTTTTAAGGGGGGTGTCACCAAATATATATAACATATATTAATTGACCGCCACTGCTTTTTTATATAACCAGTAGCCAATTTTGATGACATAGTAATAGTATTTGCTAGTGCCGGAATGCTCCCGAATGCTGTTTTTTTTTTTAATGCATTGTGACAATATAAAATAATTACTTCACATTTTTGTTGTTTTTAGTATATTTATAGTTTATGTTTTTAGTATATTTATAGTTTATGTTTTTACTCATAAATCGTTATTATAAAATATTTTTGTTCCAAACTTCTAGTGATTGAATATCCTAAAGTATAATTTTTATATTTTATTTTTATATTTTATTATTTTAATATTATAACATTGTAACAAAAATTAATTGTATACTATAATATTATACATTTTTTAATATTATTGACTTTAAAAGATTAAATGCCCTTGACTAAAAATTTTTCTATTTCTGAATAGGAATTATTATTTTTATTCTAACCCACTAATAATTAATTTGTATATTAAAATTGAACAAATTTTATTAAGTAAATGTACCTATCTGAAAATAAATTTATCCCAGACATAAAAATTGTTACTTTTAATTTATGATTTGTTGCATATTAATGTTATGTGCTATTTATAATACAATTTTGATTTAACAACTAATTTATTAACTAGCTTGTGGCAATGTAAAAAATAATTTACTGTACTAAAATTATATTATAAAAGGAATAAAAGGCTTATTTTTTATTATATAAAAACCATAGTTTATTTTAGTTTGCCATTCACTCATTCCATTTTATCGATGATTCCAAATAAATAATTTGTATAAAATTAACTAGATTGTCTTTATTTGGTAACTATGTAGTGTTCAGTACACATAATTTTGTTTCTTTCAGTTTAAGATTTATTATAGTTATAATTTAATTTAATGATTCCATAACTTTTATTCATGCTAAAATATACTCAACATATTATAATGTTGAATTGATGAATATTGGCATTTCAATAACATTTATTTTGTGTAAATTGAAACTAAGTATAAATCTACAAACTACAATGTTTATAAAAGTCAGCCTCCAGGTTAATACCAGTGTACTCGGGTAAAAATATTTGAACTACCTTCTCTGACTTACATTTATATTTTCATATTATTAAAAAAATTAAATGCTCTTCTCTTAAAATTTTCTTTAAATCTCTAGAATTTATTGTTTATTTTTATATATTATTATTATTATTATATTAAAATATTATCTTAATTTGTATATTAAAATTGAACACATTTCATAAAGTAATTGTATCAGAAAATAAATTTATCCCAGACATACAAATTGTTATTTTTAATTTATGTTTTGTTTTATATAATGTTATATGCTTAGATTATAATATGATATTGATTTAATAACTAGTTAGTTAATTAGTTAGCTTGGAAATGTAGAAAATAATTTACTGTACTCAAATTATATTACTAATAAAAGGAATAAAAGGCTTATTTTTTATTATATAAAAATCATAATTTATCTCGGTTTCTCATTCCATATTTTTATCTTTTATGCCATTTATGTAAAAGGTTTAAAACCAATTAGATTGACAAGCATTTATTTAGCAACTAATAATATATTGTATTGTATACATGATTTTTTTCTTTGAGTTTAAGATTAATCGTAGTAAATATAATTTAACATAATTCCAAAACTTGTTTGTGCTAAGATATATCTAAAATATATTGTTGAAATTATAAATATTGGCATTTGAACAACATTTATTTCATGTACATAAAATTTAAGTATAAATCTCCATTACTTCCTTACCATAGTTAAAACAAAATCTCAATTTATCGTAGAAAAAAAATTTAAATATATTAAATCAATTACTGTAAAATATTATTTTTATTTGATAAAAATAAAATATTTATATGATTAAGAGTAAATTATGTACACTCGGATATTCTATAATATCTTGATTTATTTAATAAATGGATAATTTTAAATGCAACTAAAGAACATTGATTTCATTTAAAATATTTGTATATAATAAAATATTAAAAAAAATAATATATAGAAAAATATATTTATATTTTAAAGTTATAATTGCTGTTGTTGCCCATTAGTAACTTATGGCCAACAGAATCGCTTCATAACGATAACGGCCACATACTTTTTCTCGTAAATACGGGCCAGTGAGCAATCTATAGTATTTAAAATTAATGTTATCAGCTATCCGTCACAATGTAGCATCATGTTCTTCACCACAAATAATGTCCTGAATTTATCTGCAAAGTGATTTGTGGACTAGAAGCATTATGAGTATACATATAGCACATATAGCATATTTTCCATTTCTTTCGATGCTTCTGGTGTGTACCACTTGACATTACATAACACCCCACAACTTTTCTGCGTAATGTCTATTGCATCATTATTCATCAAGTCAAGTATAGAGTTCGCCTGAATGAGCTGCAAACTGTAGGTATGAGAGGTACCTACTGTCTTGTGGTCTTGCATATTATATCATTCCTAAATAATTTTCCTTTAAATAACTTATTTTTTTTTGTCAAATTAATACAATGTTCTGTGTAAAATGTATTGAAATATTATTCAATAAAAATTGGAAAGGTCGAGTAAAAATAAAAAAAATGTTAGCATAAAGGTACAAAATATAATATTATAAATAGTTGATGAATGTATTTTTGTCCTCTATTGTAAATATTTAAATAATGAAAATTGAAAACTATTGTAATAATTTGATGGATAATATTCCTGAAGTTGAGATCTAAATAATATATTATGGAGATTGGAGGTATAATCCAACTTACATTATCTAAGTACTTATAATACTAACTTAGAACTGTATGTTTCACATATCGCAATATCTAATTAGTAATCATACAATAGGAAGAACTATATTGAATATAAGTATGTTTTATTGATTCTTGATAATAAATATGTATGGATGTATGCTAAATAATCTATTACTCTTAGAATTGAACATCCTTTCAAATTCAAACATTTTTTTTCTGATTTGTGCTCTTTTAACTGCATCAACTATTTAATAGAGGACTATAATAGTTTAAAATTAGATAAAATAGAGTAAACTGAAGGTTTTATTGCAGAAAAACCTCAAAAACCGTTCCTATTCGCCCCTTTTTACGGTATGTGTGTCGTGTATATAGACTATAAAGCTGAAGCTAAACTTAACGTTTTTCCGTCAACTAACAGCAACACATTTATAGTTTGAATTTGATACTGAAAACCGGTTTTGGGCATACAAACTATGATTAGGTAGGAATATATGTTTAAAGATTAAACAGATTTTGTTAATTTATAGTTGATGAATTCAAATTAATTTGTTAATATTAAATGAAGTAGGCACCTATGTACCTATCTACCAATTTATATCTTGTGTGTCCATCACCTTTTGGAGCACTAAAAATGTTTCTATCTTTAATTTTACAGACGGTTTCTGGTAGGAAATTTGATCAAGCTAGTACTTACAGACTACAGTGGTGTAATAAAAACAAAAACAAAAAAAAAAATATGGAAAAACTGGAATATTTACACTTTAAGTAGGTACCTAGATAGTAAGGTCGTCAACAAAATCGATTTCGTCACTATTGCAATTTGAATAATAAAGTCCGTAAATACTAAAAACTTTTATAAAATAATAATAGAATTAATAAAAGATAAATATATAACAATAATATAAAAACAATAATACAATAATATAATTCGTGAATTCATTTAAAAGTTAACCTATGTGATCATAACTCAACTACTCAAGCCACAAGTGTTAATAAAATAGGTATGTATTGACTAGGTAATCAGTTGATTGCCGCTAATATAAAATTATATAAAATCAGTCATTTAGTTACACGCACAATACTTAATAATATACAATCCCGACGCTAGGGTTTAAATGTAATTGGAAAAAATTGAAAAAAAATTTCCGCCCCCGGGTGGGCTCGAACCACCAACCTTTCGGTTAACAGCCGAACGCGCTAGCCATTGCGCCACGGAGGCTTGTTGACATGCATTGTCTAATATATAATATTTAAGTATATAGACGGTTTAGTACAATAGTAAAACACACAATATTAATGAATTGTTTTAATCACATACCTATATTATTATGTACCTAATATGTACGATTGGTTTTTAGGAGATTCATTAGCCAAGAAACTTAATTATGATAACAAATTAAAAAAACCATGAGTTAAATATTTATTTATTTATGCTATTATAATAATAGGTATTAGGTATATGTAATATGTATAATACTTAGATGTAGGTACCTAACAAGGGCGCCTTATTGCCTAATAATCAAAACTTATAGGGGGAGGGGGGGGGGTGATAATATCATGAAAAAAGAACCATCAACCAACAAAATATTTGATTTAAAAAAAAAATAGATTCACAACATATAGATAAACAATGGGTAGGTTATTATTATTAGGTACCTATATAATTATTATCAAGCCTGGATTCGAGGCTTGGTGCATTGAAGATTGAACACCGCGATAACATTTTTATTTTTATTCATAATACAGCTAGATATGTGTACCTAAAATCAACTGAGATTTTGTTTTAAATATTCCCATTACCCAGAGGGCTATTTCTCTTCTATTAATAATATATATATATATAAATATATATTAATATATTATGTATACACTCGGTTACTACATTTGAGTAGAATCACTC